AGATATAATGCTAATATAATAACTGATGTTAATAACTGATTAAAGATGTACGCTAGTCCAGATGACCTTTTTCCTTTATCACTTTGACTTCAGTTGAAGAATGAATATGATACTGGGATTTTTTTCTGGGCTATCACAATATGTTAAGCATTTCTGAACATTTTTCTCAAAACAGAGTTCATCTGCTCAGTACCATAAATAGATAAATGTTCTTTCCAGTACTGCTCCTCTGAAGCATTTTGATTAGTTGATATAGAAATCAGGAGTGTTTCCATTTTATCATTTTCTGCAAGATTTGTTCCTAAATTGTAAAAGTACATATTTTTCCAATTAGCTCAAGCATAAAACAAAGGAAAACTTTCAAAGACTTGATTGTGAATTTTTTTTTATATTTTGCTTAAAGTTTTACAAGAAATAATGTTTAATGTTCTAACAAAATTAAGCTTACATACTTTTTTTCAAATGACTGAAAACTTGTACACTTGGTGAGCAAAAGAACATTTTTCAAACATTTTTTTCTAATTATGAGATGATAAAACTTAATGCTGTATAATTATATAAAAGTGCTTGACTGTCCACATATTTGGGTTCATTGTGCCAGAGATTATTGTAATCAGGTTGTGTACTTCTGACAATCCAGTATTGTTGATATTCAGAAAAAGACTTTTTAGGACACAAGTTACAATTCTTTCAGGTGTAGTTGTTTCTGGGTGTATACCATCATAAATATTAATAATTGTCTTTCATCAAAATTTTAATTCCCTTTGATCTCCATAGCATTATATGCAACTGTACATTTTCTAAAGAGTTACAAAAGTTTTATTTATTGGGTTATTGGAAAAGTTATGATGCATATTTGTAACAGATGGCACTAGTTCATTTTTGGAAGTACTAGAGTCATTCGCATCTATGTTATTCCTATGTCATTTGACAGCTGACAGTTCTAGCTTCATTGTAAAAAAAAAATATTGAGCAATTTAGTTGAGTTTTGGAGATTTTACAACAAGTTGAAGATGGAAGACCAAACTGTGTATTTTGCCATATTTTACTGTTTTACTTCCATAAAGGGAAGAACGCACGTCAAGCTTGTGAAAAGTTGCATAAAGTTTACGGTGACAATGTTCTACAAGAACATCAGTGCCAATGATGGCTCACGAAATTCCATGCTGGTGACTTTGATCTCAATGACGCTCCTCGGTCAGGGAGGCCCACTGAGGTTGATGACGGCAAAGTAAAGGCATTGATCGAGTTAAACCCACGTTACATGACACGAGAGATTGCAGAACATCGAACATCCATCATGCAAGCATTCACAACCACGATATTCGGGTTCCGCATGAACTCAAAGAAGTTAATTTGACAGCGTGTATAAACATCTGCAAAATGCTCATTAAACGTGAGGAAAAAGATCCTTTTTTGAAGTGACTGATAACTGGTGATGAGAAGTGGATTGTTGACAACAGTGTGGTACGCAAACGGTCTTGGTCCTGACGTGATGATTCGCCTCAAATGACATTGAAAGCAGACATTTATCAGAGGAAGGTTATGCTCTCAGTGTGGTGGGATTTTAAAGGTGTCGTGTTTTTCGAGCTCCTACCATGGAATGAAACAATCAATTTGAATGTGTACTGTTGGCAATTGGACAGTTTGAACGAATCCATCATCCAGAAACATCCAGAGCTTGTTCATTGTAAAGGAGTTGTGTTCCATCACGACAACGTGAGACCTCACACAAGTTTGATCACTCATCAAAAATTATTGGAGCTTGGATGGGATGTGTAGCCACACCCACCATACTCGCCTGACCTTGTGCCATCAGACTTCCACTTGTTTCGCTGTCTTCAAAACTCATTGCGTGGTATAACGTGCAATTCAGATGAAGCTGTAAATCAGCATCTTGTTCAGTTTTTCACAAATAAAGACAGGTCCTTCTATGAACAAGGAATTATGAAGCTCACTGAAAGATGGGAAAATGTTATCGAACAAAACGGGGAATATATCATTGATTGATCTTTAGTCTTTATATAAATAAATGACATTTGAGAAACATAGACAAAATACGTCATGACTTTTCCAACAACTCAACAGTAATATAGGGCATTTGCTAAGACAAATTTTATTTCAAGTCAAACAGATTAATCACTTGGTTGATAGCTAATATATTTCAACCTCTGGGAAAAAAACAACATATTTCCCATGAGCTGAACTCGGCATAATGTAGCTGTGGATTTCTGATTACTGCCAGTTTTCACTTTTCATTATAGAATAAATTAACAGGAGCAATGCCTAAAAGTTTTATGTTCCTGATTTTATAAGTAAAGTATACTCATTGCAAGAAATTAGAAAAGCCCAAAATACATAATAAAAAATAATAGATAATTTCTACATTCTGGTATACCTTCTTCTATTTTTGTGTGTATGTATATAAACATATTTTAATCAAAATTGATATTACACTGTACATTATCCTTGATATTTTTTTCCTCTGAACAATATGTTACAGATCTCCATTAGTTCACCATTTGTTTAATTTTGTCAGGTGTAAGTCAAACAGATAAGTATGTCTTGTGTCTTCATGGGAGCTTACCTGTCTAAGGAGGGAAATATAAAACAAACAAATAGATAAAAATATAATTCCAAAATATAAGTTTTATGAAGGAAAGAAACAGGTTTCATGAAGGAGAATAATTTTAGGGATGGGGACCCACTTTGGAGGGGGTGTTATATAAAGCCAGAATACTGACCTTCAAGCAGAGGCTTAAAGAATGGAAAAAAGTCAGTCATGCAAGAGTAGGATTTAGAGCATTCTAGGAAGAAGAAACAGCAGGTGCAAAGGCCATACAATGGGAGGAGTTTGTTGGATAAAGGAATCTAAAGGAAGGCCAGCTGGCTGGGGCAAAGAGAAAGAGGGAATACTGGCCCATGATGACATTCACGAGGTAGATAGGACTCGGTCCCATAGGCCGAAGAAAAGAGATTTTATTCCAAGTACTATGGGAAACAATTAAAGACTTTTAGAATGGTGACATTGCATGACTGTGTTTACATTTTTCAAAAGATTCATCTAGATGTTGTACGAGTATGGAGGATGAATTATAGAGGGAACAAAGGTAAGCAGAGATGCGAGTCAGGAGGCTCTTGAGGTGGTCCATGAGAAAGATGAAAAGCTTAAATTAAGCTGATGATAGGAACTGTGGAGAGAAGTAAAGAGCTGCGAGATGTGTTTTGGAGTTGAAATTAACAATTTATTAGTTGATGATCAATAGAAGTTGGTGACTTAAAAAGGAGTTGAGGACAATGACTCTCATTTGTGGCCTAAGGAATCAAGTGGATGGTGGTATCACTTATTGTCAAGGGGTGGGTAAGGACCAGGATTGAGGTGGTGGTTGTGTGTAAAATAAGCATTTAAAGTTTAGATGATAATTCTGGGGGGCCTGTAAGACAACCAAATGTATAAGTCAAGAAGACAGTTGCATGCATAAGTCTGTTCTCAGGTGAGTCTGGGCTGATGATACACATTTGGAAGTTATCATCACATAGATAGGATTTAAAGCCAAAGGAGCAGATAAAATAACCTAATAGAAGAGTGAAGACAGATAGATGATGAGGGCCTAGAACTGTGTTCTGACAATGAGAGACTGCATGCCTGGGAATCTAAGAAGAGGAGAAAAATAGGGGAGTGTGCTGTCAAAAAGCCAGAAAAGACAGCTTTGGAAAGGAAGGAGTGGACAGCTGTGTCAAATGCTGCTGAGCAGTTTAGTGCGAGGAGGGCCATAAAGTGACCACTGGATTTAGCAATATGAAGGTTTCTCATGATATTGTCAAAAGCAGTTTCAGGGCTATGTGTCAGAAGGCATATTATAATAGGTGTCATAATTCATAGATGATTAGCTAAAATTGTAATGGCTACATATTAATCTTCACTTGAGATAGCAGAGATACTCAGACACATATTTGTGGACATGCCAATGTTCTCTAAGAAATAGGCTTGTGAGTGTTTTAATGGCTCATAGGCCCTTGGGAATTGCTGGCTTGCAACTCAATGGGGTTTACCCTGGGGAATTTTGCCCTATCTTCTTCCATCTGTGTGTGAGTTTTGGTTAAAAATCCACAAAAAAGGATTTGGATGATGGGGAATATGAATATTGACTGAGTTTCTCTTTGAGAGTCTTGTGCTTTTGCCAGTTTGATGTTCTCTGCTCTGGTGTAGAAACCATTTTACCTCCAGGCAGTAGAAAGCCGGGGAGGGCCAGGCTCTCTTTGCTTCAGACTTGTACTCCATGACCTCCGCGCTGCTCTTTTGGAGCACGTGGGCACTGCCAGCCTGTGGTTATGAGGTACATGCTCTTGTTCATGTTCCTTAAAAATTGGAAATCATCGATAGGCCCATTGTTGAATCATTCCAGGGCCTAACATGTTCTGTGCTGAAATGGAGGAGAGTCCTAGATAGAATACATATTTTGTAGCCAAAGTGACTTGGATTGGGACCCTCTGCCTCAATTTTCTCATCTGTAAAGTAAAATAAACAATACCTGTCTTTTGGGGTTATGGTAAAGATTTAAAGGAAGTGTGCAAAGTGCTTTGAAACATGTAAGTACTCAATAAATGGTGGCTGTGGCTATTATTATTGTTCAAATTAAGTGTTCAGTATTTTGGAAATGTTGAATTAGTTACCTGGGTCGTGGTTTGTCTATGAAGAGGATTTGACTTTCAAGTGGGAGAAGAATGGAGAAAGTGTTACAGCTTGTTATATGAATTTTCAGAAGCTTCTTTTCTAGTAATTTGAGTGGACTCAGCACTCATTTTCTGATTTCCCTGAGTAAGTGAGAGGGAATGATTTGATCTCTAAAAACTTTTTTTGAAGGGCTTTATGTTATCAAGTTATTTGGATATTCATTGCTTATGTTTTCAAGGAACTACGTTAATACTACTAAGTATATACTGTAATAAGTAGCCATGCAAGCCTTGATTTTAATCGCTTTCTCTCTCTTTCTCAACAGTTTGGGAGGACTGAAGTAATTGATAATACATTGAATCCAGATTTTGTAAGAAAATTTATCCTGGACTACTTTTTTGAAGAAAGAGAGAATCTTCGTTTTGACTTGTAAGTACTACTAAAACTTGCATTTTGACTTTTTTATTTCATTTTTTTAAACTTCCCAAAGTCTATTTTATTTTTGAAAGCTGTTTCCACATAGCTTTTTATTTTTTTCAATATAATTTTATATTAGTTTCAGGTGTACAGCATAATGGTTAGACAATTATATAACTTAGAAGTGATTTCCCCGATATGCTAGTATCCACCTGGCATTATGCATAGTTACTGCAGTATTATCGACTATATTCCCTATGCTATACTTTTCACCCCCGTGACTATTTTGTAACTACCAATTGTATTTCTTCCTTGCTTCACCTTTTTCACCCTGTCCTCCAACCCCCTCCCATCTGGCAACCATCACTTTGTTCTCTGAATCTATGACTCTATTTCTGTTTTGTTTGTATACATTGTTCTTTTGAGTCCACATGTAAGTGAGGTCATATGGTGTTTGTCTTTCTCAATCTGACTTATTTCACTTAGCATAATAGCCTCTATGTCTAACCATGTTGCTGCAAATGGTAAGATTTCATTCCGTTTTATGGTGGAGTAATATTCCATTTTATATATATACCACATCTTCTTTATCCAGTCATCTATTGATGGGCACTTAGATTGTTTCCATATCTCGACTATTGTAAATGGTGCTGTAATGAACATAGGGGTGCATATATCTTTTCAAATTAGTGTTTTGGGTTTCCTTGGATAAATACCCAGAAGTGGAATTGCTGAGTCATCAGGTAGTTCTATTTTTAATTTTTTGAGAAACCTCTGTATTGTTTTCCATAGTGGCTGCAACAATTTGCAATCCTACCAACAGTACACAAGAGTTCCCTTTTCCCCACATCCTCACCAATACTTGTTGTTCAGTGATTTATTGATAATGGCCATTCTGGCAGATGTGAAGTGATATCTCATTGTGGCTTTAATTTGCATTTCACTGATTAATAGTGACACTGAGCATCTTTTTTTATTTTTTATTAGTCAGGTGTACAAAAAAATGCAATAGTTATACTTTTCACCCCTCACAAAGTGACAACTCCCCTTCTCCAATCCACCGCTCCCCAACCCCTGATATGATTGACTCCCATTCCATTGACTCCACTCACCACACTGTACTCCACATCCCATGACTGTATGTATATTAAATTATAGTTGACATACAATATTATTCAGTGGCAGCTTCAGATGTACAGTGCAGTGGTCAGTCCTCTACACCGTCCATGAAGTGGTCTCCCTAACAAGAAATGTGTCCGTCTGACATTCTGAAAAATATTTACAATCAAGATAATTATTGATTATATTCCCCAAACTGTCTTTCCTATCCCTGAGGCAATATGTAGTTACCAATTTATGTTGTCTTGTCCCTTCCCCTTCTCCCTTATCCCCAACCCCCTCCCAACTAGCAACCATCAGTTTTCCCTCTATGTCTCTGAGACTATTTCTGTTTACTTTGCTCATTCATCAGTTCTTTAGATTCTGCATATAAGTGAGATCATATGGTATTTGTCTTTCTCCAACTGACTTAATTCACAACATAATGTTCTCTAGGTCCATCCATATCATTGCAAATGGTAAGATTTCATTCTTCTTTATAGCTTTTAATATACCTGTTGGAGATCTGTATGTGCTCTTTGGAGAAATGCCTATGCAGATCCTCTGCCCATTTTAAATTGGATTGTTTGTTTGTCATTGTTTTTTTTTTGGTGTTAGGTTTTATGAGTTCTTTATAAATTTTGGGTATTAACCCCTTATCAGATGTACCATTGGCAAATACCTTCTCCCAATCAGCAGGTTGTCTTTCATTTTGTTAATGGTTTCCTTTGCTGTACAGAAACATTTTAGTTTGATATAGTCCCATTTGTTTATTTTTTTCTTCTGTTTCTCTTGCCTGAGGAGATATATTCAAAAAAATATTACTAAGAGCTTAGCTGAGAGTTTATTGCCTATGCTTTCCTCTAGGAATTTTGTTTTCATTTTTACATTTAAGTCTTTATTCAGTTTTGAGTTTATTTTTGTATGTGGTCTGATATCATTTTTTGGAATGTATCTGTCCAGTTTGTTCAACACCATTTATTGAATACACTGTCTTTTACCCCATTGTATATTCTTGCCTCCTTTTCCATAGATTAATTGACCATATAGGCATGGGTTAATTTCTGGGCTCTCTCTTCTGTTCCATTGATCAGTGTATCTGTCTTTATGCTAGTACCATGCCATTTTGATTACTATAGCCTTGTTTGATATCAGGTAGTATGATGCCTACAACTGTTTTTCTTTCTCAAGCTTGTTTTTGTGGTTCCATATAAATTTTAGGTAAAACTTACATTTAAAAATAATTATTAAAGGCAATTTTCATAATATAAGGTTGGGTCCTATGGTTGCACTGAATACCAGATTATATTGTCAGGAACCAGATAAATTCTAGTTAGAGCATTCCCTGAGCATTGTTCCCAGCACTACTTTGCATTCTATAGGCTTTTGGCTGTGTTTATTGAAAAAAATGAAGTGAACAATTTAACCATGTAGAAATGCTGGGCAATATATATATGGACAATTCTTTTAAACCTTTCTGTGCCTCAGTTGGTTTCTTACACGTTTTGCATATTCTCCAGAGTGATCTCATCTACTCCTTGGTGGCCTTCTCACAGATATTTAAGTTTCTCTCAGCCTCTTCTTTGTATAATACATAGATCTCTGCCTAACTATGGTTTCTTTTTAATCATTTCATGGCATAATATGTCTAAGACCTAGGATGCTAGAGTCAGAAATTTTTTTTTTTTCAGCTGAGCCATCCTGCCACCTGTTGGTAGCTCAGTGGCAGCTCAGCTCGGGCCAGGACTCGAACCACTAGTTGCTCAGAGCTCGCACACTTGAGCTGAGTTCTTAACCAACTGAGCCACTTGGCCAGCCCAGAATTTTTAATATTTTTAATATTCTTGTTATTTTTTATGCTGAATCAGGCATATTAAATTATTATCATTAAAATTGACTCCGTGTCCACAGAGAATCTGGAGTCAGTCTGTTTATAAGATATTATTACTGAGTTTTTGTTCCACAGAAGTAAACTGTGGTGATTATTGAAGTATCTGGATATTGTTAAAAGGAATCTATCGAGAAGAACAATTATAACTTATGTTGTAGTATGTGCTTAATATATTAAAATAATTAAAGAATTTATTAACATCATAAGTATTTAAAATGATAGATGTCTTATTTTAAATACTGAAAAGATTAAAGTATACCATGCTGTCACAATTTATAAAGGTTTTTAAAAGTTTTATTTGGAAAAGTCATAATTTGCCTCCTAATGAAAAAAAAGTTTCTACTATTATAATGGTAGTCTTTCTCATTTTCCTGTAAAATATGTGCAGTAAAATAACCTGTAGCGCTTGCTTATTAACAAGAAAATTTTATACCAGCCCCTTTCCTTCAAGCGTTGTAGGAGTTCTGAGAATTCATTATATTTATCAAATAAAGTGTTTTATGCTACATTTGGTTTTTATTTCCTTGAAACCCCTTTTGAACTAATAAAATGAAGCTCTTGAGGAAAAAATCTTGTAGTGGAATTTAATGATTTTCTGACCGTGTTTATCATGGAGATTGCACATAGTGTTTTTATTTAAAAACAGACATATAAATAATTTAAAATGTGGTTTCATTCTCCCATTGTTCAGAGCCTTTATAGTAACTTTTAAAATGAATTTTCCTTTTATCTTACATCAGCATGGTACCCCCTAACCCCCTTAATTTTTTTCCCTTTAGTCTCAGACTTAACTTTATCCTAAAACCAGCCACGATTCCACGATTTTTTGTTCTCTCTTTATTTCTCTTTCTCTCTTTCTTCTCTCCCATGCATCTGTATTGTTTTCTTTCATTTAAAAGTAATACATATTTATTAAAAACTTTAAATAAGTAGGCATTTAAAAAGTGAAAGTTTTCTGTTATTCCAATATCAAAAAAAACCCCAAAAACACACCCTCTTTCCTACTATACATGTATTATTCATTTTAACGGCTGCATAATTTCCATTGTTTGAAAAACTACAGTTTACGTAGCCAAACATTAACTGATGGACATTTTGGCTGGCCCCCTTTTTACCATTACATGCCATTCTGCAGTGAGTATCCTTGTATGAAAAATTTTTGAATTTTTTTTTTGTTTTGCACGTGAGAAGATAAATTACTTAGAGTCAAATTTGAGGATAAAAGGATATGGACAAAAATATTCACTGTTTCATTTTAATCTTTGAGACCAACGGAGAGATTCTATAAGCTTTATTAGCTCTCTGAACTCCTTGCATATTTTTTAGCACCATTTTTCTGTTTTGTTTCGGTTGCTGTGCACCAACAGGCCCCGTCACCATCATGAGCAGCTGCTGCCAGGTGACTGTACTCACCCACTTTCTCACATTGTTGTCTCTTTCGGCCTTTCTGTACTGGTCTCTTACATTCGTGTCCTGCTTATCATTTGTCACTTGATATTCATAACTGTGGCTGTTCTAGAATCGCACAATGAAAAGAAAGGAAATGGTAATCTCAAAAGGATGATAGTAATCAAATAGTAGTCAATAGAACAATGAGCAAAAATGAAGAGCTGGGCTAGTCATTCTGGAGAGGCGAAGGTAAGGAAAGAGTCACCTGTATACAGAGGCTAGTGATCACATGCTCAGCTATACTGAAGATGAGGCTATGGAAGCTAATGGATTTTAAGGATTGTCCAGCTCAAAAAATGCAATTCCACTAAACTCAGTGCTGGTTAATCATTTAAATAGTATGTCTGTTTTACCAAGTAGCCTTTCAAGAATTGCTTTAACAAATAGTGAGTCCAAAGGAGAATGTATTAGGCGAGGGAGATGACTGATACTTACTCATATATAATGCTTGTCAAGCGTGCTAGGTATGCTTAGTTAGAATGGACAAAGAAAGACTTAAAAGTAAGAAGGAAGTTTGGGCATTGATAAAACTTAATGTACTTTTCTATATTTGATGATAGCTCAATAATATTGC